AAATGGGCTTCGCACATTGTACCCGTGTGCAAACGCTTTAGCCACAAGGCTACTCCACAATCTGTATAGCACGTTACTCATCGCATCGATGACACTTGAAAATATATCCATTGTGTAATAATTTAACATCAAACATGTGTATTATATTTGTGTAAACAGTTGTTTGTACTGCCATCCCATATAATGTAACGGTTGATTCACAGAAAGGCACAATAACAAGAAGAGTGAGGAAAATTCTGTTTAGAAAACAATTATGTATGAAGATCATCTCAGGTGTTTCTAATCCCCCGACGGCAACCCCAGCACACCTGATATTACTGATCCTTATCCGTTAATGTAACCATGGTTTCTTGGTCTTTGAGGGAGATTCGATTAACTGTATTTTTGTCAGTTATGGCTTGTTATCTGCCACTGACTTTGAAGAGTGTTTGCACCGAAGGCTATAGAATGTTGCATTGTGCCACGCGAGATTATATCACATGTAGCGCCTTGTCAGCAGTGAAGAGAAATTGCATATTGCAGCTGATACCAAATACATTCTATACCAATCGAGCTACTATGTTGAAGGTGGCTATACGTATAATTCCTACGAGTAACATGTGCTACCTTGAAACCGGGTCCATTTTGGATTATGACATCTGTGTTTATGCGTATCAAACTCCACCGGTGGTGTCTGTCACAAACACATGCATAAGCATGTCAAGTCTTCACTTGACAAACACTTGAACAAAACTAATTATGCCAGAGCAATTCAAAAGAAGGAATTGCATAGGGCATCATTTTGGTCAATAATGCGTATAATGTGGAATATAATATGGAAATACCCCCTACATTTCTACCATGAAGCATTCTATAAAGGTCATATTACATATAGTTCACTGAAGATATTAAATCTGTTAAACGAATTGCAACCTTCACATTGAATTAATCAATGAAATACAACACAATGTGGCACTTGAGTAGTATTGACTGTGGTTTACCGAATTTAATCCAAAATGACACTTTTGTAAACCTCTTGTTCATTGTTTTATGTACATATAGAAGTGATCTAACGGATAGAGTGTCTACTCGGGTAGAGGAGGGTCTGTGGTTCGATCCCCTGGTCCATCATGATTCTAATGAGGGGACAAATGAGGGGGAAACAAGTGCTGGTAAGCTATATAGGCGTTAGTATACCGTGGTAGAGAGTATCCACGTATAGGATGGCAGTGGGTTAGCACTAGAAAACCTTCAAAAGAAAAACAGGGTAGAACCAGCAGCTGTAAATATAACACATTGCGTTTTAAGAGTGATTATGTTGTAAGCAAAGCTACATCCAATGTATGGCTTTCTCTGCATACATTCCAATAAGAAGCTAAACGAAGTAAGCAATTAATAATTTAAAACGAGTTTAGTCACAATGAGAAGAATGTATAACAATATGGAAAAGTCATGTCTTTCTTAAGTGGAAAACATTTAATTTAATAGTCTCATAAGTTCGACAAAGGGTTTTGGCCATGCAGAATATAATTAAATGTACCAGAATATCTTTCTTAAATTCGACAAAGGGTTTTTCGTAAAAGGGAATATAACAAATTGCAGTAAGAAAAAAGTACCTGAAGGTCGAACGTTAACATATCTGTGTCATGTTGATGAGTGTTACGTCTTGATATATTGCGACTAAACCAAATACATCAACATAAACTTTGTCCTTTATCGATTGTGGAGTTTAAGTAGCATACAACACCTTCTCCAAGTTTTTGCCTTTCTGAGCATTAAATGTAGCTCGCATTGCTGGGTTTTCCCATTAATCTCATATGACCTCGAAAAATATTTCTGATTGGAGACTTTTGTATGAAATATGGCAGTTAAGGGAGTGAAATGTTACAGCAGACATTCTTGATGCCACATATCACGCTCGATCTGTCAAACTCCGACTGTTTTTTCAGCTTCTGTATCGACTTTGTTTATAGCTGTACACCTTGACCCCTACTGTGTTTAAGTGTTCTTTTTTCATCTTTTTTGTTGTTGAAAGTATCAGTTTTTGGGAAAGTATCATACTTTTTATTGTCTACAATAAAACGACAAAAAACTGTATACATCCATGACAACTCTCCAAGAAATGCAGGTTGTATGTTTCCAGCTACATCTAACAGCTAATTGTATAAATAAATAGTGGGCTACAGGGCCATGCAATGATTTCGTTGCAAGATTGCCACTATGTTATTAGGATGGGTTCATTATTCACGTTCCTTTAGTTATGAAAGCAGATGCCCTCAGAAAGCTAAACACATCCGAGTTGTGGCGTCCATCATATACACATGCAAGGGCAAGTCAACTGTTCAAACACCCGCACAAACACAAGAACGTGTGGTACAAGTCCAAAAAGGGTACATCCTTTTTTATCATAAATCCAGGGACTAGATTTTCGAAGCTCTCTTGGGGCTAAGATAGTCGTAAGAGCCATACATTAACATTAACTTACGACTATCTCAGCTCTAAGAGAGCTTTGAAAATCTAGGCCAAGGATAATTTCAAAATGCCATCACCTTAGATAATTTAGAAACATAAATGGTACATAATTGACGATGTGCTGAATGAATCACAAACTCCCAACACAACTTGTTGTACATCTCCACTTTATGCGCTCTCTTTTACATAAAAATTGAGATGAACGCCGAAAGAATAATACGTTATCACATTGTATACAGCTAAAACGTTAACTGTTAGGTGAGGTGAGGTGAAATTGGGTTTAACGTCGTACTTAAGAATATTTCGCTCATATGACGACGTGCATGCGTGTGTATGTGTATGTGCGGCTGCTTGTACTAGCCAAGACTGAAGCTGGTTTTATAGTGCTAGCCCACTGAGATACCATGCCGCAGTGAAGCATGAATACCCCACTCAGACACATTATACTGACTCCGAGCCGACCAGTCCTTGTTGTACCCATTAATGCCGAGCGCCAGGCAGGGACCAACAAGTACCATATTTTAACGTCTTTTTGGTATGACGCGGTCGGGGATCGAACCCGCGACCTTCCGCTCTCCGGGCGGACGCTCTAACCACTACACCACGAAGGGGGGTCGTTAACTGTTATATCAAACGATAAGGTTATGACTAAATAACCAAATATCATTTACCTGTGTAATCTCTGAGCGAGTTGTAATTCAATTTTAGCCTTATCGATCATATGAGGTTACTCATGTTAATACAAAATGTTTGCAATTGTTAATAACTAATTTTGTCGAAGACAGAGGAAAATAAAACAAAACAAACTACTGTTTAGAGATTGTTAATCGATAATTGTTATAATGAAATATATAAGTTATCTGATAAAATTGTAACAGTAAACACTGATAAAAAGTTATTGTAGTCATTGTGTATCAAATTCTGGTGTGTAACGTGTTCTTTTAAAATCTTTAAACAAGTTCAAGAATTTTATGAAAAGTTTACCTTGACACTGTTCAATCATTGACATAGTCAGGCAATAAGTTTACTTCATCTTTATGTCGTTATTGACAGTAGCCTATTGACAGATGACACTGAGCCACAGTGATATATGCAAGATTAGCAGTTCATGCTGTGTCACTACCCTGGGGTAATCTGTAGACAGGACCATTGTGGTCTTCTGGCTTGTATTTGACCCCAGGAAGTAATGTTGTAATGGACAATGACGTCGTTTATACGTGTGCAATATCCAAGCTAACTGTTGGGTATATAAGTACTGGCTGTTGCAAACAGAAGATGCATTCGAAATAACGATTTTGTCAAAAGGTGAGTTTTAGCAGAGTGTTCATAATGCATTCGAAAAACATGTATCATAGGTTCCATACTGGTCGTAAGAGTGGGAACCGTGTTAGGTTTTTACGCCTATTATAACATTATTATATCAGGGTGGTTTATCACTGTGCACAAGCTGTATGTGGGAATACCCGAAGATCATATCAGGTGTTTACAACTCTGGAAGTATAAGTGAGGTGTTCAAAACTTGATTGTAGGTTATTAGAAGTACAGAGGATGTCACTATGTGAAACGAAATATCAAGACAAGGATGTTTTTAGTAATTAGGACACGTGGCCCAGAAATGAACAAAATATAGTTGTAGTCATTTGACCGACAGAGCATTTGCTAGATTGAAACTATTACAAATCTGATGAAAATTGTGTTTGATAAAGATAACTGCTGACATAATGGCATTTATAACATTTGATTTATGTAAATTGTATATTTTCAAGGAAATTTTACATTTTCAAAGAATATGTACCTTTTGGAAAAACAACAATTCACATTTTTCATGTATTTTGAAGACATTAAATAAAAATTGAGGTTATTTCTACTATTTAGGTTTTACAAATGTTGCATAATCCTAAACTTCGTCTATTATACAGCAGTAAGATGAGGAATTTCGCCGTTATTCTAGCAGTCATGGTTGTCGGCACTACATGCCAGTTTACAGGAGGTGGATATGGAAACAGGAGGTTCCGTGGACGAGGAATGAACTATGGTCCTGGTCCTGGCCCTGGATCTGGACAGGTTAATGTCAGCCCTGGTGTGGGTGTTAATCACGTAGACGTGGAAGTGACCCACGTCAGACACGGCGATCATATCGACACTATCACAAGAAAGGTGCCACATGTTTATACAGGCAATGGAATTCACGGTGGAATTGGACATGGCAATCATGGATCTGGAATTGGTCCGGGATTTGGCGGACCCGGGGTTGGGAACTTTAGGCATGGAGTTAATCCTAGATTTGGTGGACCTGGACTTGGTAACCTTGGACACGGAATTAATTCTGGATATGGGGGACCTAGGGTTGGTAACCATGGACACGGAATTAATTCTGGATTTGGCGGATCTAGGGTTGGTAACCTTGGACACGGAATTAATCCCAGATTTGGCGGACATGGGGTTGGTAACCTTGGACACGGAATTAATCCTAGATTTGGCGGACATGGACTTGATAACTCATGGACACGGCGTTAATCATAGATTTGGTGGACATGGTCTTGGTAACCATGGGCACGAAATTAATCCTAGATTTGGTGGACATGGGATTGAAAACCACAGTCATGGGCATACTCCTGGATTTGGCGGACATGGGGCTGGACATGATGGTATTGGAAGTCATCATTTTGGAAGTGTTTCTGGAGCATATGGACATGAACATGGAAACGTCGGCACCGAGTTTGTCCAAACACGTCCTGGAGTATATCAGCGTTCGATGGGCCATCATTTCGATCACGGTATGTTTGTCAATAGTGTACTTTCAATATCGCATTCATCTTTACTACATCTTTGCTTCACACTCTGCATGTACAGTACTTAATAACTGTAATAATTTTAAATCGTCAATGCCAAATAATACATTGTCCGCCTGTTAGTCAATATTATGAACTATCATTGCTGAACAACGCTAAATCTACAAAGACATCAATCCATCTATGTATTTACATCAGTTTTACACAACATTGTCACTGGAACTAATTATCTTCTGCATTTTTAACTTCATGTTTACGAAGATTTCATTAAGCTGATATGCGTTAATAGGAACAGAAAGGAGTCATATATTCTATGTGTAATCCGCCATTGATTTTGTATTACAGGTCACCATCCCTGAGGAACACGTTTCCAAGTCAGGAGGAAGCACAATAATGCGATGGAAACACGTTTCATGCAAAGTGTACCCCATTCGGTCGGTCGTGTCAATAATGCGGTTCTGTGTGAGAGTAGTAATAAATATATCTATATATGTATTCTTGGGATCTATTATTCTTTGTGTTGTATCTACACTATTAGTCAGTGAGTGAGGTCACGGAAGCAGGTCTTTTATTAGATGGTGAGGTGAGGTGAAATGGAGTTTCACGTCGTACTCAAAATTATTTCGCTCATATGACGACATGCATGCGTGTGTACATGTGACTGCTTGTACTAGCCAAGACTTAAGCTGTTTTTATAGTGCAGGCTCACTGAGATACCATGCCTCAGTGACGCATGAATACCCCACTCAGACACATTAAACTGACTCCGAGCCGACTAGTCCTCGTTGTACCCAATAATGCTGAGCGCCAGGCAGGGACCAACAAGTTTCATAACGTCTTTTGGTATGACGCGGGATCGAACCCGCGATCTTTTTTCTCTCCGGGCGGACGGTCTAACCACTTCACAACGGAGACGGACTCTTTGATGAGAGCATTGACTTGGGACACATCTTGTACAATTTCCGGATCTCCAAATGTATGCAATAGCGAAGACAATGTGGAAATGACACGCCTGACAAGGATCTGGATGACAAGCTCTGTAACATTGTTTTATCATACTACGTTGGGTTGGGATGCTACAGTCAGTATCAGCAACTAATCAAGAGACGGCCATTCTCAAGAATAATATGTCAGTATTCTATTATTAACAGGCATAGTACACATATCGATAAATTAGTGGAAGGGAATTTGCTATTTGAAAAGTATTGCACGATAAGAAATCAAGCATAAACCTGATGCTCATGTTATTGACTCTTGACCAAATTAAGGCTTTATGATTGTATCAAACCGAGCAAAAGCTTCGCTTGATATTGATAAGGAAGCACATAGGCAAGGACAGTAGTACAGTAGCTGTCAAATTGGGGATGCCTACTGTCCGCCTAAATGTCTTTGTCTTGATTATACACAGATGCCATCTATGAGGAAGTTAAAATTTTCTCAGTAAACGTCTAATGGCATTTCCTTTCGTTTTGTACATTTCTGCTAAGATTCCATTCTAGACAGTGCTCAGCGCTAATCTATATTTAAGGAGGGGAGTTAGCTTCGTCTTAGTGCTGAGTTCCGTTTGTGAAACGCAACCTTGAACGATTAACTTACAAAACTCCCATAATCTCTCTCAACCATCCACAAGAATAAGGCATTCTATAATGAACGATTTGTTTCTTCAACAATTACATTGTGGAACAATATACCATTTGAGGTTAAGAACTGTTGGTCTGTTAAAGCATTTAAAGCTCAAATGTGTCACTTTATTTTGCGAATGGTATTAGAAAATTATATGTCTTCATACCAGACTAAGACATATGACCAGCACCCTTAACTGTGACTTATACAGAATAATGTCAGTGTGTTTCTTTACGTGAAAATGGTGTACATTAATTTTTTGAATGTCCAGTATACATTCCATAGAGGGATGCTATGTAATAAAGAACATGCACCCAAAAGAGTACCCTTAAACCAAATCTCATTTTACGTGACAATGCAGGTGTCTATATCAGTGAGAATCAGAATATATGTGTCCATATATATATAAACAAAGCTAAATAATTATCTGATTGTAAAGTGATTGTAAAGTATCCCTTTATTCTTTACCGTCTCTACTTTGCCTGTTTCTGTTTCTTTGCCTGTGTTTATATACTGCAAATATTTATTTAACTGCTGGGAACGATCGACAACTTGTACCCATTCCTTTTCTTTCATGAATAAAATAAATTCAAGCTAAAGCTCTGAACGTTTGGAGATTGACATGTAAGTGTACCCTTGGCCACCACTTTTTGTGACAACTGCATCATGTATGATACGTGTGCAATGACTTGTATGCTCCAGACAAAAGAATGTCTTATAACGAAAAACATTCAAAAATCATATGCAATAACAAATAATGTTCACGTAAAACACATGTTCAAGATGTTTATAGTCCATGATTGATACGTCTGCATTATCCCTGAAAGATAGATCTGTAGTTACTATTACATGTGTGTTATATTCAGATATGGAATGCTGAGACGTGCATACTTAAGTATGATGATGATGTTCGTCCTTCACTGGCGAAGATGACCATGGTCTAGGGTTGGGAATGAGTGTGTAGATGGCTTATGAGGCCAATTCTCGCTCGAAATTATCTGTTGCAGTGTGGGCAGGACATGCCAGTGGCTGGACCAGACTAGGGGGTAGAGTTCGCGCGTTCTTTCCTTTCCTGTCGTCTCTGTTCTTGGTCACTGATGCGTCTCTGTTCGAAGTCGGACATTCCGAGAAATATTTGGATAATAGTACAAGATGGGAATATACTTAAGTATAGTCCATGTATAACAGCATGATCAATTTTAAGTAACGTCCCGCGTCAAACACAATGTTTCCTTCATAAATGGAATGAAGATCAACAATTGTCAACCTTATGACGATCCTGCTGCGTTGCCCTCGTTCTGTGAAGATTCATGTTTCGATGAATTCTCACGAAACAAGTCAGTAAAACCCAGTTAGCTTTACACACATTTGTATCAATAATGGCTCAGGAGCTATTCCATGCTGACGTGCCTCTTTTCCATTCAACTGTGGGCATTTAAGAACAGTTTCCGCTTTTTACAACTTATACAACTTGTGAAATTACAATGTCGGTTTAAATAGAGTCAATCTGCACAAAAGACATGCTTTGGGACCGGATTTGAGTGTCGGAATTCGAAATAGAGGGATGTCGGATTAGAGGGAGTTTCTTATATGATATTATGTAGGGACAAATTCGGGACCAAATTCATATGTCGGTTTAGAGGTAATGTCAGATTAGAGGGATGTCGGTTTAGAGGGAGTTCGCTGTTTATACTTAAACATGAAAATACATTAATGTGACACATATGTATCTGTCAAACTAAATCAAATTTCTGCTTTCTATTGTTTTCCCCCTCCTTTTTACTTTTGGTCATCCTTTTCTTTTCCTTCTATTCTTTTACTCTATTGTATCGATTCGTCTTCTCGACGTTTGTCTCGTATTTCATCATAGTCCTTAGTTTAGTTAAAACATATTTTATTCAAAAAGTGAAAAGAATTGGGACAAGTTAGAAAATTATGAAAGCCTCTCGAAAGATATTTATAATAACAAAATTCTGCACAAGCAATTATAGGAAACAAACATAGAGGAAGGTTGACAGCTCAAGGGAAATATTATGATACAAAAGGTGTACAGAAAGCTACTGGAATATACTGATGAGCATTAATATTATTTGTCAGATCTGCAATGATACGGCAAAAGAATAGCTTGAAAGATGATCTGTCGATTTTGATTGCATAATGAACAATCTAAGTAATAATGATGAGCATTTTCGCACGGGTTACCACATGCGCATGATGGATCTGTGATTAGCCCTACTCTGTAAAGATCGTAACTTAATCTACTAGCTCTATGACGTATTTGCGTATGTAGTAATGTCCTTATACCGTAGGAAAAGTACAATGGAGCAGAGTTACAGGATGTTTTTATGCTCGATTTGATTTTTGATAGTGAATTACAATTTCCTATTTTTGCAGATAAATTGTTCCACAATAGAATCTTCCTTTTTTATTCTATTTTCCTTTTTCTGAGTCATCTTCTTCTAATTCATGTGTCGAATAAAGAAAGTGAATCTGTCATCTTAGCTCAGGTCAACACTTTCATTTTGATCTCAAACTGAGATGGTATGAGGTGAGTTATTATTATTATTATTTTTTATTATTGGATATTTATATAGCGCACATATCCACGCACTAGTGCATGCTCAAGGCGCTGGTATTTTTTCCCTCGATCATTGGATGTCAATCTCAACGGCACATCGCATTATCAATCTCAACTCCCTGGGGAGTATACAACTCTTGCAGCCACTAGGCGCACCGAGTTATTGTGGCTTTCTCATCCTTACGAGGTACCCATTCACAGCTGGGAGGACTGGGACACATAGTCACAGTACTTTGTCCATGTTCACTGCACGTTATATTTTATAGGGATGGGGGACATCCGTAATGTTGTATAGAAAATGATAGGAAAGTTTTTTTTTGTAAGATTTAAATGCTAAAATATATGATATGCCCAAAACAAAACGGTAAGAGCGTTGTAAGCGTTGTATCGCTGTGACAAGTAGTGAATACTGATGCCTCTAGTTTTCCACAGGTCTGTAGTGCCTTCACCTAAATCTCCTTGTCTCTGGTTGAACATTGTAATATAAACATTATAATCAGCCCCTTTGACCCATGTTATGTGTAATGGGAGCAGGACAATTGCACCCTGACAATTGCCACCCGGAGAATTGCCAACTAGGATAATTGCCATCCAGGTTTTTTACTATAATAGTGAGGACAATTTCCACCAAAACATTTTATGCAATTTTATTCGAGAAAATGAATGCAGGTTATCAATAAACACAACTTTCAATGATGAAAAGTCAATGTACATGACCGGCATATTGTACAGTAGTTTTGTATTTACGACAGATGGTTGAAAATAGGGGATATAGACATTTTTAAACAAACCGAGAAAGCATATGATGGGCATAAGCTATCATTGCATAACACACCATAACTTACGTACTTACTTATCATTGTAAATGTCATCTGAGCACAGCACAGAACACAACACTGCCAGATACAATCCGAAAGGATGACAAAGAAACATATGGTTTAAATATAGTAATTTCATTTTTGTTCCCTAAATTCTTCAGAGATATGAAACTTGCAAAATATATTCACTGGCAATAACCCTAACCTTTTTTCACTAATTTCTGATGTAGGTTTTGACGTGTAATTCCTTAGCTGATATATCGTTGTCTTGTCTGCCAATCCGTTTCTTATATGCTGAGCGGAAGCAACTCACCGGTAAAATAGTGACTGATGAGCTTGCTTTTCAGGTCAATAGTTAAACGCTGAGCACTCCATTACAATAAAATCCAAGGTCTCTTGTCAACAGAGATTGGTTACTGTCTTGTAATTGTCACAAAAACTCCGGCGGTGATAATTTTGACATTAGCAATGACGTCTCACGCACGTAAATGTACAGAATTTCTAACATAAATAGCATCATGATCACAAACAATTCAGTTGGACACTGGACTGCAGAGAAACCACACGTAAGTATGGCAACAGAATAGTTTTTTGGAAACACGTATTTCTGTGCTTGACCATAGGTAAAAACTTGACCATCGGTACTTGACAAGGAAGACTGTTGTATAGTCTTTCCATAACGCTAAGTTGTTATGGTAGCAATATGCTTTTTAAAAAATAATTTATGTTGTCATTCATTTACATTTGTAAAACCGTGGGTCTATGGAAATGTTAACTCAGGTTATTGTGTCTCTTTCAAGGTCGCATCTAAATATGCTTGCATTCATACATCTATATTAATATTTATATATTATATTATTATTGTTTCTCTGCCAATAGACCCGTGAAGATCCGGGTTAGAACTGATCTTCAGTAACCCATGCTTGTCGTAAGAGGCAAATAACGGGATCGGGTGGACAGGCTCGCTGACTTGGTTGGCACATGTCATCGTATCCAAATTGCGTAGATTGATGCTCATGCTGTTGATCACTGGATTGCCTGGTCCAGACTTGATTATTTACAGGCTGCCCCCTTATTGCTGGAATACTGTTGAGTACGGCGTAAAACTAAACTCACTCACTCACTCTCTGCCAATCTGACTCATTTTTACCATCAACGTTAACCTCCGACGTTACTAATAAAACATGTGAGAAAAGGTATTCAGGGGCATGTCTGAGGAAGTATTGAGCGTTGTGTTTTGTTTTACATTTTAGATATACTGAACTATTCACTCGAGCTGCAAATACTATGTTATTCACACACAGAGATACACTGACAGACACACAAACAGACACAGAGAGAGAGAGAGAGACACACACACGCACGCACGCACGCACATCAACCATCTACCCGTCGCCGCCATATAGCTGGAATATTACTGAGTGCGGCGTAAAACTAAACTTACTCACTCACCATCTACCCTGATGTGTGCACGATCAGGCCATGAGGAGAGGCAGCTTTATGCAAATGTCATGAGCCTGGTTCTGTACAACAGGATCCCTTTGTTGCACACAGACCACCAATCATGTCCCACATATGCTGCAAAAGGTTAAGATCTCAGCTCATTCAATCGTATATCAGGAGGGTGCTTAACTTAGTTCTTCGTGTATATTTACGAGTATGGAAATGACTGTAGAAACATGTATAATTATTTTCATCATCCTTCTTTTCAGACCAAAATATGAAGACTGTCACCTTTGCTCTAGCGTTCCTTGTTGCCGGAGCAACATGTCAAATATACAACTCGAGATACAACCATGGCCGCCACGGTGATCCTCATGCCCGCGTTTCTCACGGAGTCGGCCTCAATCACTATGACTATGACACGCGAACAGGTTACCATAACGGACGGAGGCACACCATCACAGATCGGGTTCCTCATCTGTACACAGGCAACAGTTATCTGAATGGACATGGACGAAGTCATGGGTACAACGGTTACAATAGTTATGACGATCGTCTCGGGTATCGAAACGGATACAACTCTGGTCTAGATTTGTCGGGCTCCGGACATGACATTGGTCTAGGACGTCGCTTTGCCAGAGGGCGGTGGTGAAACGATGGCAGATATTAGAATGAAGGCTGACAACGGTAACCAATTTTGCATGTTATGTAAACATCTTAGCCAAATAGTTTGGAAGGTTATATCAAATTATGAATATAGTCAGTTGGGCTCTCTATATACATGTTTGTAAGTGCTATAAGTCGATGGCTTTGTGCCTATTTTACAAGCGTCAAAACAAATTGAATAATTAATGAATTATGTACAGACGACTATTGATTTGAATGTACCTATAAATATGACGGTCGTTCAGAAAAGTTTTGGATCGTTGCATCTGAACGCAGTTTTCAATATTATCACAATGGAATGTCACATCGTCCATGAACTGTACGTGATACACGTGCACACTGACGCAAAAGTGTGTGCAAAAATGTGTGCAAAGACCACTAACGCAGTCGAACTTGAACTAAGCACTAGCATTATGCTAAAAGGCCTAGGGATTTTTTCAATAATCAAATACAATGATGAACTTGTGTACGATGGGTAGGAGGAAGGCGGTGAGGGATGTCAATATCCCCAGTTGCTCAAAACATGTAATTTCGAGGGGATGCAATGTGTCCTTGAAGCAACAGGTCTAAAAACGCCTAAACTCCTCTGGTTACTGCACTACGCATTAGATACCCATCCGCTCATGTTTCCAAAGGAGTGAGTGAGTATGGTTTGACGCCACTTTAGCAATATTCCAGAAATATCTGGGGCGGTTAAAGCGTTCGCCTGTCACGCCGAAGACCCGGTTTCGATTCCCCACCATTTCTGGTGTCCCCCGCCGTGATATTGCTGTAAAATTTTGCTAAATGCGGCGTAAAACCAAACTCACTCGATCCATCAATATCATGGCGGGGAACACCAGACATGGGCTTCACACATTTTACCCATGTGGGCAATCGAACCCTGGTCTTCGGCGTGACGAGGAAACGCTTTAACCACTAGGCTACCCCCACTGCCCCAGTTTCCAAAAGAGTATTCAATACAAAGCATGAAGGCTAATTCCAATAATCACCTTGAAAAACCACCGACCTATATACGTTTTCGTTCATTAACGTTTTCCGCTTTATTCAACAGATCATCATCGTGACAGGTACGCACGGACAATGCTGGAGTGATTTTCTTAACGAAACAACAACGATGCACTCATAATCATTTTTGTGGAAGTTCACTGTTTTGTATTGACACGTTTTGTTTTGAAATAAAAATTACGAATGACATAAAACTGCTGTTTTATTCTATTGTCATCGCAATAGTAACTAAACGGCGTCAGCTCCGAATAATATAACACACGAGATAATATACGCGAGCATGCTTATATGCTTCGGGTGCATCTCAGTGCAGAGAGTTCAAGTGCATAATAGAAATGCCAGCTTGTAGTACAGCTTATTTGTCACCCTAGTTCGCTTCCTAATACGGATATAACAATCCAGACAATCCAGTGATCTACAGCATGAGCATTGATCTGCGCAATTGGGAACCGATGACATGTGTCAACCAAATCAGCGAGCCTGACCACCCGATCCCGTTTGTCGCCTCTTACGACAAGCATGGGTTACTGAAGATCAATATTCTAACCCGGACCTTCACGGGTAGACTCACCAGAATCCACACTGTCATTCACAGCAGCAACTAAAGCAGCACCATCGCCATCACCCACACCATCACCCACACCAGCATCAGCGTATCATCAATGGCAACATCCTCACCACCATCCTCGAGACCATCTACACTACTATCAACAATACCATGATCTAAACCACCATCCTCCCCACCATCCACACCACCATCCTCGAAACCATTTACACGGCCATCAACACCACCATCTAAACCGCCTACAGCGACACCATCAACACCACCATCATCACCACCATCATACACACCGCCATCAGCACCAACATCATCATCATCACCATTCACACTACAATCGTTGCCAACATTCACACCAACATCTACACCACCATCAGCACCTTCCACATTACCAGCCTCACCACCATCAGCCCAACCATCCACACCACCATCAGCCCAACCATCCACACCACCATCAGCCCAACCATCCACACCACCATTAGCCCAACCATCCACACCACCATCAGACCAACCATCCACACCACCATCAGCCCAACCATCCACACCACCATCAGCACCTTCCACATTACCAGCCTCACCACCATCAGCCCAACCATCCACACCACCATCAGCCCAACCATCCACACCACCATCAGACCAACCATCCACACCACCATCAGCCCAACCATCCACACCACCATTAGCCCATCCACACCACCATCAGCCCAACCATCCACACCACCATCAGACCAACCATCCACACCACCATCAGACCAACCATACACACCAACATCAGACCAACCATCCACACCACCATCAGACCAACCATCCACACCATCCACCATCATTAGCCCAACCATCCACACACCATTAGCTCCAACCATCCACACCACCATCAGACCAACCATCAACGGCACCACCAGCCCAGCCATCCATCCACCATCAGCCCAACCATCCACACCACCATCAGACCAACCATCCACACCACCATCAGACCAACCATACACACCACCATCAGACCAACCATCCACACCACCATCAGACCAACCATCCACACCATCCACACCACCATTAGCCCAACCATCCACACCACCATTAGCCCAACCATCCACACCACCATCAGACCAACCATCAACGGCACCACCAGCCCAACCATCCACACCACCATCAGCCCAACCATTCACACCACCATCAGCCCAACCATCCACACCACCATCAGCCCAACCATCCACACCACCATTAGCCCAACCATCCACACCACCATCAGACCAACCATCCACACCACCATTAGCCCAACCATCAATTCCACAATCCACAATACCATCAACACCACCATCAACACCATCAACACCACCACCAACACCGTCAACAACACCATCAACACCACAGTCAGCACCAACATCAACAACACCACCACAGTCAGCACCACCATCAACACCAACACCACAGTCAGCACCACCATCAACACCAACACCACAGTCAGCACCACCATCAACACCACCATCAGCTCGATTATCCACACCAACACCCATACCACCATCAACACTAATATCCACATCAAAAACAACAACACCATCAATAAAACCATCAACACCATCATCCACACCACCATCAACACCACCACCTATTGTACAGCTTCTCCAAATAAGCAAGTAAGACATACATCAAACGGAAATCCTTCTACATACATAACACACGCTTGCTGGGTTCCCGCAGCCGGTGGCTGGGAGCCCTGTTAACATGTCCCTCAGGCATGTATCGCACATTCCAGTTGTTACAAATACAATGGTGACAAACGTAATCGATTGACTGCAGGTGACACAGTCAACAACAATACATTACAACCTCGCAATACTTGGCATTGTTCTGCTTGTAAATGTAAGGCACGAAATGCAATTGGAGCACGTGGTTTAGTTTTCTTCTGATGGAAGACACTTACGCTTTTCCCAAGGGATTACTCATGTCCGTCTCATGTCCGTTTCCTGCATTCTAAAACGACAGAATACTTAAGAACATACATACGTACGTACCTGAGTACGTACCTACCTACCTACACACACATACATCTTTCGCTGCTCAACACCAAGACTTGATGGGTGAATGGTTGATCTTGTCTGCGTAAAGGAGTTTTTACGAGCACAAATATCTGGATATTTTCATATTTAATGCGTATGCACCTGAATAAATCACTTGTATATAAAATACATATGTTTATTTAACTTGAGCGATTTTCATTCACAGGTAAACATCCGAGTATGTTCTTCTTGTATACCGTATACACATAGCAGAAATTCCACAAATTAAACGTATAGCTAAAAGAAAGAATCAACGTAAGGAGGATAAGTATGAAATAATTTCTGTGTCGATTATTAATTTTGTCATGACATGGAATCAGAAAACACTAATTTGTAAAATAGACAAAACAACCCGTAACGTCATATTGTATGGCATGCACAGAGGACATTTCAACCCTCACGTACGTTGAACATACTTTCTTCGACTTACACGGACAATGTTGAAGGAAGCCGTGAAAACTTTAATCAGAAGTCAAACAACGCATCAAGGATATCGACATGCAACAGTGGTGCACTATTATTTAATTCAAGACTAGGTTCAACGTCATGTTCAAGTCATTATTAAATGTGGAACCCTATCTCATTAATATACAGGTGCAAGTTTATCGCCAAGTTGTTTTACATGTGATAACCATAAGTTAATGGTAGAAGAAGGACGTAGAATTGGTATTGATATTAAATGTAGATTATGTACTCACTGTTCATGTTACGGATTACATTATATTGAAAATAAATTTCACTTAATTTATTGGTATGTACAGCATTTACCGATTAACGGAAAAGGTATTAAATGTAACTATATTGTAAATCCATCACAGGAATCTTTTACTAACTTAATGAACTCAAATTGTCAATTAACTATTTTAAATCTTGGTAAATATATATTTTGCCTTTAAACTTTATGGTACACTACATAGGTAATTGTAACAGTTGTAAGAAGATGTATTTATAATATGCTTTGTACATATATATCAGTATACGTCTATTCAAGTTTGGGACAAGTGTTTATATGATGCTTTTGTAAAACATATGTTACATATTTTACAATTGTATTGTCCTATGGGTCTGTGGCCTCTTTGACAGAAATAAACTATATACGTACGTTGTAATACCTTCTTCGACTTGGACAATGTTGTATTTTCCATTTAGGATCACTAAGTTGTGATTCTTCGACACTTCATTTGATGACACGAAAACGTAAATACACAAATGCCGATATTAAATGCTAATTAGCACTTAATATACCAGACATTCAAAATGGACACAACTATACTTTAGAAATGTGCATTTGTAGGCATGTCTTTGTCTGTCTGTCTGTCTATCTTACATACGATTGGCACACATACTAAAGCTAAATATTATTTATCGTGACTTGGATGCTATGATGTCACACATAAGGTAGTCTGTGACCAGGCGCCTGAGGGCACCTGACTGTCATCAATCAAGGAACACGGGTTCATCTCACAGGTACACAATACACTGTCACTCAGAGAGTTATTGCTTTCCCAATTATTGACACCTGTGACGACAATCATGTTACCTATTTCTGGTGAAAATCTTGTATAAATAAAGGCAAAATTTGCTGATACCATCATATCTGTACTGTTCGTTCGTTGAAGACACACATCGGAAGGTAAGTAGAATCAGATTGATGGTAGTAATACCTACAGGAGTATGTGAATTCCAGTAAAGTTACTTTGCGTGTCAATTTTCAAGGATATCTGAGCCAGATTTAGTAGAATGAAGACACTGGATATATTATGTTTATAGCAGAATAGCGTTTCCGAAATGGTATTTGGTAAAACCTAACAACTGAAAAATGATCACAATTGTCCTCATTCAATGGAAATAGCTGAAAATAATGCCTCTGTGTTAAAGCCAGTGTACAAGATCAGCCTTGGTTCTTCGAGCCTCCAAATATCTTGATATTATGCTCAAACACATCATCCTTAATTATTCATAAACAATATGTGGCCATTCCGCTTTACCTAGGCGTTGACCCTAATATTCGTCCGTCGTAAAACCTTTGCCTATGACTACAATCAAATGCGCCAAATTTTGAGGGTGTCTTATGAAGAACATAGAAATTGTTACCAAATGATGATACTTTTCTCATGTCTACAATAAGTGTGATTTTACCAGTTGTTTTCAGCCAAGTAACGTTTAGACTATGCAAATTTTGGCCAGTTACAATTTAAAAAAAATATGGTATGTTCACGATCACGCTGACGAATGAAAATCATTATGGGGCAGCTTAGTTAGATGGAGAATCTTATTTAGTACAAATTATTTAAACCCATAGTACTTTTTCATGACATCGTTTTGATCAGTTACATCAAATTATATTTTCTTGTCTCAATATGGAAGTCAATATCATATTATTAATGAGAATTACAATTTATTTGATAGTCTTACACTAAGTAATGACATGTGCTTGGTAATGCCAACATTTTAAAGTTTTCAGTAACTATATAATATGACTAATCCTGCCAACGAATTGATCTTCAGTAACCCATCGGGTGGTCAGGCTCGCTGACGTATTTGATGAATATTATTGTATCCAAATTGCGTAGATGAATTCTCAGGATATCAATAAGGCTTACAGTCTTCCATCATAAAATCTGGAATTGTGCTTATGCGACGTTAAACGGCAAAGAAATCTCGTCCTTCACATCCATCTTAGAATCATATGCTCCTATCATTTTCTGTGACCTTCTATTTCAGATCAAGTACTATCAACCATGAAAACAACAGTGATTGTCGCCCTTTGTCTTATTGCCATAACTACCTGTGACGCCTTCCTCGGTCTGCGCCGTCCAATGATGCTCCCCGGAATGCTCAGATCTCGTCGCCTGGGCATGGGTAGACATCGCGGTGGCTACGGTTTCGACGGTGGCTACGACGGTGGTTATGACGGTGGTAATGACGGCTACGACAATGGATACGGCCGAATGGGAGGCCGACGACAATATGGAGGCTATGGAAATGATGGTTACGGAGACTATGGTCGTGACTCCCCTGACTTCGGTGACTATGGTACGCACGCGTTATTTGTATCACACTTATTATGAGTGAGTGAGTGAGTGAGTGAGTGAGTGAGTTATGTCAGCCATAAACAATATATATCTATTGATAAAGGCCAACTTAGATTTAAAAAAATACCTGTCAATGAAAGACAGTAAATCACTAGATATCACAAAATTTCTTTTACAGCTAGTACGAAACCACAAAAATATAAAAACGGGATATAGATGGCCAACAACTGAAGGTAGATCACCATGCTAGAGACCATTGGGACGGTGTGTTTGCTACCGGCATGGACTCTAACTGGGGTTAAACCGCCCCTTCAGTTAGCGATTGTATGGAAGGTTAGCCATGTATCTGCGATTAAAACACACCTATGATGTGTTATGTGGAACTAGAACAAGTTTTTGGGTAGTGTTGATGCTTTGGGTGGGTTTAGGGTTTGGCTGCGAGTATGGCCTTGCAGTTCGCTTTGTCGGTCTGGGTTCCAAGATGTTATAAAAATGGTATTGAATATGCTTCTGTGCTGTCAGCACCACACCTATGATCGTGGGTTTCATCAAAGTGGTAAACATCAACATCAACATCAACATCAGCATCAACATCAACATCAACATCACCTTTGGCTTTAGTTCCACATGAATCTGATACATCTTGATATTAACTGTAATACGTGAGGCTTAGTAACCACTTAGTATTGCTAGCCTTAACACATCCAGTTTCCATTCAAACCCCTTTTTATGCTCTAAAACCCAAATTCTATTATAAATATCAACTTTAGTGATCATATTAGCAGAGGGCAAAATAAATTACATATTGTTCACTTAAGTCCAATCATTTCCTATAACGCTTAGACTTAAGACAACAAATGGGAACACAGCCGTTGAGCATATATACAATGAATATTTAGGAGGGTAACACTCATATACTGCTTAGAAGTATCAACTATCAAGAGGAAGTTATTGTATTAGTTCAGTATTTTGTCTTTTCATAATCATGATTGCTAAATGTAAAAAAACTCACAATCAGCTTTATACAGTGAGCGACTGAACTCACACTAACGACTAATGTGTCAGTAACAATAACCCTAATTTCACTTGTGATAAAAACAATGCTGCTATGGACAGACGGACAAAGACGTCACATATAGACGTCAGACTGAAAAGTGTCCCAGTTGAGGATGGTCCCTTTATGTTACGATCCGGGTTACGATTCAACTTTACTAACCCATGCTTGTCGTAAGAGGCGACTAACGGGATCGGATGGTCATGCCTGTTGACTTGGTTGACACATGTCATCGCATCTCATTTGCGTAGACCGATGCTCATGCTGTTGATCACTGGATTGTCTGTTCCAGGCTCGATTATTTATAGACCGCGGCCATACAGCTGGAATATTGCTGATTGCGGCGTTAAACAACAAACCAACTAACCAAGCCTTTATGTTAATGTTCATATGCTTGTTTCTGTAGCCTAAATATGCTTACATACGTTTTACACACTTCTCATAATTGATCAATTTTCACTCAAATGCAGCACTAAAGGCTACGTTATTTATGCTCTATTTCGTTTTTTTCTTTTCTCAATAGGACGAATGAGGAGAGGGGGCTATTATTGATCAGCACTGATGACTCCTTGGCTGCTTGTTGGAGTTTGCAGCTGGTAACCACTTTTAAGAAGATGCAAGTATCCCTGAAAGACCACCCTGACTGCTGGCCGACAAGCAATAATAATGACACTTTACCGGTGCTCGTTTTGATGTTGCATTACATGTTTCTTTTCCATATCTTTTACTTTGATTTGTTTTGGTTTTTAAATAAAACAATACAAAATCTCCATGGCATTGTTACTGTTGTGTTTGACTTTGTTTATATCAGAAGTATGACATCCCTATAAGTCCTTTGTCACGCTGTTGCCATAACAAAACAAGTAAAACGTGTCCGATTTTACTAAACGCGACAATGGGACATGATCCGTATTTTCATTGTCGAGTTGTTGCGTAGTCTTGCTGTGTTTAAACCAACCTACGACACAGTCACATCTTTCATGTCTAAATGTCGTGCTTCTGTGTATTTCCACGTGTTCAACCTGTTTTTATAAGGATGACAATGGAACAGTATCCCTTCTACGATTCCATACATTGGAGATTATAGTTACGTATAATAATAGATATTTATAAAGCGCCTGTTTCCAAATACTTGTGCCTACTCAAGGCCCAAACACAGTATTACCCCTGATAACCCTAGCTGCATGTGAGGCAGCTAGAAGGTTGTCAATCACTTATCCCACCGGGTACCCATTCACTACTGGGTGAAGAGAGGCACTTTAAGAACAAAGTCACTTGCCTAGGGTGAGATCATGTGCGTCACTTGTGCTTCGTTGTGGAGACACAGATCGTGGTCATCTTGTGGTACTGCTGTATACATGGACACAGATCGTGGTAATCTTGTGGTACTGCTATATGCATGGACTCAGATCGTGGTCATCTTGTGGTACTGCTGTATGCATGGACTCAGATCGTGGTCATCTTGTGGTACTGCTTTATGCATGGACACAGATCGTGGTCATCTTGTGGTACTGCATTGACTCATCATCTTGTGGTACTGCTGTATACATGGACAATCTTGTGGTACTGCTTTTATGCATCGTCGGTCATCTTGTGGTACTGCTGTATGCATTGACTCAGATCGTGGTCATCTTGTGGTACTGCTGGACACAGATCGTATGCATCGGACTTGTGGTACTGCTTTATGATCGTCGTGGTCATCTTGTGGTACTGCTGCTGGACACAGATCGTATGCATGGACACAGATCGTGGTCATCTTGTGGTACTGCTGTATACATGGACTCAGATCGTGGTCATCTTGTGGTACTGCTGTATACATGGACTCAGATCGTGGTCATCCTGTGGTACTGCTTTATGCATTGACTCAGATCGTGGTCATCTTGTGGTACTGCTTTATGCATGGACACAGATCGTGCTCATCCTGTGGTACTGCTGTATGCATGGACACAGATCGTGGTCATCTTGTGGTACTGCTTTATGCATGGACTCAGATCGTGGTTATCTTGTGGTACTGCTGTATGCATGGACACAGATCGTGGTCATCTTGTGGTACTGCTGTATACATCGACACAGATCGTGGTCATCTTGATGTACTGCTGTATGCATGGACACAGATCGTGGTCATCTTGTGGTACTGCTTTATGCATGGACACAGATCGTGGTCATCTTGTGGTACTGCTGTATACATAGATACAGGTCGTGGTCATCTTGTGGTACTGCTTTATGCATTGACTCAGATCGTGGTCATCTTGTGGTACTGCTGTATACATGGACACAGACAGTGGTCATCTTGTGGTACTGCTTTATGCATGGACTCAGATCGTGGTCATCTTGTCGTACTGCTGTATGCATGGACACAGGTCGTGGTCATCTTGTGGTACTGCTGTATACATAGATACAGATCGTGGTCATCTTGTGGTACTGCTGTATGCATGGACACAGATAGTGCATATGTTCCTTAATGACCGAATATTAACAACCGTATTTTCGTATTTTTTGAAAACTTGGGTCCATATTTTAGGGTAGTTGATCATCGCATGTGAGCGTGCGTGCGTGCGTGCCTGTCTATTGTATTTCGGAGTATATGTTCACAAAGAATACATTTATGAAATGTTCATCTTTTCAAACTCAATGAATAACTATCAATATATGTCAACATATGCTATTAATGCATAGTATAGTGCTTTGCAGATTGGTAATTAGAGTTTCATGTTACTGATGAGTCTAAATGGCCGGGCTAAACTACTGTATCCTCAAACTGTCATGAACACGATTAATCATCACAATGATATTGATCTTGGAAACATTACATGTTTGTCAACTTCTTTAAAACAAACATAACAGTTTCTCCTACAACATATTTCCCAACGTTTAGATTACGAAAATTGTGATTTCCTGAACAGAATTTGCTCAAGTGTTTCTGTTCTTTAAACACCGGGTGTTCTGGATGTAATGTACTCATATAACATTGGGAGGCAATAGTGACGTATCAAGCAAGTGACGTCACGTCTATCAGTGTGACGTCATGGTGTCATATTGACTTACTTGTAAAATGCCTTTCAACGCTAACATCGGAAAGCAATGTATTTCCGTAAAATGTTTTAACCCAGTATTGTTATGTTTCCATGGAAACTTCAGTTAGTCCTGACGGGATCTACTAATCCTTAGTTCGAATCATCCTTGCGTCACCTTGCACTGTCCTCGCATGTCAAGCTGAACTACAAATACTATCATTACCTTAACTGTGAGAAAGCGCTTTGTCTGGCTGTTTATCTCGTCTTATTGTAAGTTACATTCTGTGAGTTCGATCCCCGACCGCGTCATACCAAAAGACGTTAAAATATGGTACTTCTTGGTCCCTGCCTGGCGCTCGGCATTAATGGGTACAACAAGGACTGGTTGGCTCGGAGTCAGTATAATGTGTCTGAGTGGGGTATTCATGCTTCACTGCGGCATGGTATCTCAGTGGGCTAGCACTATAAAACCAGCTTAAGTCTGGGCTAGTACAAGCAGCCGCACATACACATACACACGTATGCACGTCGTCATATGAGCAAAATATTCTCAAGCACGACGTTAAACCCAATTTCACCTCACCTCACATTCTGTGAAAGAAAACAACAGTTGTTGTTTGGAATGTCAGTAGGAAAACGTCATGGTGTTTACTGATCATTAGTAATATCTTTAACTTCTTGTTTCAAATGAATTACATTAAGTGAATGAAATAATGCAAACGTGTGCATCAAGCATACTCATTCACCAACGGTAACAATTTTGACACTAACAATCAAGATGTCAGTATACTTTGTCTTGGTATCACCATATGCATGCATCAGCGGAGTGAGTGAGTGAGTGAGTGAGTTGAGTTTTACTTCGCTTGCAGCAATATTCCAGCAATATCACTGCGGGGGACATCCGAAATGGGCGTCACACATTGTATCCATGTTGTGAATCGAATCTGGGTCATCACATGACGAGCGAACGCTTTTACCACTAGGCTGTCCCACCGCCCCAGTGAGTGAGTGAGTGAGTTGAGTTTTACTTCGCTTGCAGCAATATTCCAGCAATATCACTGCGGGGGACATCCGAAATGGGCGTCACACATTGTATCCATGTTGTGAATCGAATCTGGGTCATCACATGACGAGCGAACGCTTTTACCACTAGGCTGTCCCACCGCCCCAGTGAGTGAGTGAGTGAGTTGGGTTTTACTTCGCTTGCAGCAATATTCCAGCAATATCACTGCGGTGGACATCAGAAATGGTCTTCACACATTGTACCCATGTGGGGAATCGAACCCGGGTTATCACATGACGAGCGAACGCTTTAACCACTAGGCTACCTCACCATCCGCATCAGCAACTACATGTTACAATGACATGAAACACTCTTAACGCTTATGCAACATCTACTCACAGAACTAGACACAGATTCAAGACACAGATCACGATCTTGCCCTAAACTGAAGCGCACAAAGCACCTGTACCGTCTGCGTAGTGAATGGGTACCCGGTAGGATGAGATAATAATGTGACTTTTAGCGCCTCACAACCAGCTTAGAAAATAGAATCCCCAAGGAGCTGAAAATGAAAAA